GGGGGGGGATGGGCATAATGATGAGGGAGAAACAGACATTGTAGCACAGGACCGCATATGGTTAGACACTCGATATGTAGTGGATGAGTACGTATGGCCACTGTCTCCTGCTCTCTAGCACAATGGGTGAGAGCTGGGAATGGTCTCTCTGCCAGGGAGCCCCAGGTCTTGATCATGGTGGGGGTGGAGGGGGTGGACATGATCGATCGACCCATCGAAACAAACAGACAGTATTGTACATATTCCCATACACTTAGATACACACTCTGCAGTGGATGTGAAAGTATGACCACTGTCTGTCTCCTCCTGATCCACACCTGTCAGCCGTCGAGCTGCGCCCCCCTCCCGCCCTTCGCCGCCCCATGGGACTCCCCTCAGCCCCCGTCACCTCGCCTCGACAGCACCACTCCACTCACACACCTGTAACTGTGGGTTTAGACAAGGCATCGTTCTGAAAGTTGGCACGGAGGACGGAGGATGAGTCGGCAAGATACACTGCTGGCGTGGGCGTTCACAGGGATGTTAATCGTCCTCGCCATGTCTGTTTATGCAGGCTCGGTCTCGGGCTCGTTTGCCTTTGACGACCACTTTGCCATCACAGGCAACTTGGCTCTGCGACCTTCTTCGCCGTGGCGCGCTATTTGGGATACGGATTTCTGGGGACAAGATGCGAGCTCGGAGACATCGCACAAGTCATGGCGACCGCTGACGGCTGCCTCTTTCCGTGCATCGTACATGCTTGCAGCTGCCTTGCTGCCAAACGCGCCGTCATCTGTGGATGATCCCGCTTGGGACGCCTTTGCAAAGTCAGACGATGTCGCTGCCCACTTTCGCACCGTCAACATTGTGCTTCACGGCATGTGCACTGCGGTGTTGTTCTGGTTGCTTCGGAGTGTAGTTCTGGTGCCCATCGGGGACGTGAGCATGCGATCGGACGTGGCCCTTGCTTCAGCCGCGCTCTTTGGTGTCCATCCGGTCCACGTCGAGGCTGTGGCGGGTATTGTCGGTCGCGCAGAGCTCCTGTGTGCGCTAATGTACATGGGAGCAATGGGCGTGTGGATGGCCTGGCTTGTTGAGGCCGAGACGCCGGCAAGGCAAGCGGTGGCAGGCATGATCTTTGCGCTCGCCGCTGCCGGTGCAGTGCTTGCCAAGGAGACCGGCTTTACGCTCATTGCGGTGCTTATCGGATACGAGGCTCTTCGTGCGACAGTGCGTGGTGCGCTGCCGCGAGCGGCGTGTCTTCGGATTGCTGCGCTTGTCGCAGGCGGGTGTGTGTACATGGCTGTCCGCCTGGGCATCACTGTCACGTTCAACCTCTCCAACTACCGCCATCTCGAAAACCCGATCGCGTACGAGCGCGGCAGTCTGCTTTGGGCCAACATTGTGCTCCTTGCGGGAGAGTACGGGCGGCTTCTTGTCTGGCCGGCAGTCATGTGCGCCGACTACTCGTTCAACGCCATTCCACTGGCGCGGTCGTGGGCCGATGCGCGGGTGGTGGCAGCGACAGTCGGGCTCATTGTGTTAGCCTGCGCCGGGCTCGAAGCAGGCCGCCGGGTTGTGTGTCATCGGTCGCGGCCGGCGCTCGCGGCAGCGCTGCTGCTTGGCTGGCTGGTGGCGACGTATCTGCCGGCGTCGAACGTGCTCTTTTTTGTCGGTACCATGGTCGGTGAGCGGCTGCTGTACCTGCCGTCGGCGACGTGCTGTGGGCTGGCGGCGTGGGCGGCGTACGCGGCGCTCGGTGGCGCTGGGTGGCGGCGACAGGCCGGCTCGCGGGCGGCGTTCTTTGCGTTGCTAGGCATCGCCATAGCGCTCGGGGCGGGGCGGACGGCATCGCGCGGGCAGGACTGGATGTCGGAGGAGGCGCTGTTCGGCTCTGCGGCGAACGAGGGCAAGTGCGCGGGCTCGGCCAAGGTCCAGATGCACGCCGGCATTCTGGCACGACGGTCCGAGGATTGGGACGAGGCGCTGCGGCGGTTCAAGGTTGCGCTCGCCATCGAGCCCGAGTACTGCGCCAACCACTACTGGCTCGGGGTGACGTACCTGGTCAAGGACGATCTGCGCATGGCCGTATCCGAGCTACAGATCGCCATGACCTGCAAGTATGTGGTCCACAAAACTGGGCCTGTCCTCATTAGCATCTACACCCGCCTCGTTCATGAGTACCCGGGCAACGCGGTGTACTACGGCGACCTTGCCAAGATATTCGTGGCGCTCAACAACCCGGAGCGAGCTCTGCAGGCGCTGGAGACTGCGCTGGCGCTTAACCCGACGCTGGCGCCGTTCCACGAACTGCGGGTGGCGATCATGGAGCGAGCTGGGGTGGGCAACGCGGACGAGGCGCGGGCGCTTCAGAAGCGGGTGTCGCAGCTGGTAGCGGTGGCAACCGATGTGACCAAGGCGCGCGAGGTTGTCAGCCGCGCGCCTGCGAGCGAGCGGGCAGCGCTGAAGCAGCAGCTGGCGACGCTGGCGGCGCTGGCCATGAGCAGCGAGCAAGACGTGACGGGCGTGCTGGGGCGGGCACGGGTGCTGGAGATTGTGGGCCGGAAGGAGGGATGAGCGGGTGAGAGCAGCGTGTGTTTACTCGCCCGACGGAGGGATGGGCAGCAGCGGATTGCCGTTCGCGTCGACGTCCTGCTTCTCGCCGGTGAGGACGCCCTTTGCGGTGCCCTTTGCGGCGACCTTTGCCATGGACTTGACGCCGATCTGGCGGACGTTTGCGCCGGCCTGGATGACGTTACCGACGGCCTGCAGCGACTCGCCGGTAACGTCGCCGACCTCGTCGCCGTAGCGATGGGCAACAACGTCGACGGTGGTGGCCGAGACGTCGGTGAGGAGGATGCGGCCGGCCGAGGCAAGCGAGGTGTGGAGGGTGTCAACAGCAACGACGGTGTTGACGACGACCTGTTTTGCGGCGCGGAGAGCGGGCTTGGACTCGTTGCCAGAGCCGAACTTCTTGCCGATACCGGTCTCGTTGACGGCCTCGGCGACCGAGTTGCCGATGGAAAGCGCCATGGCGCGGACGCCCTTGACGAGGGCCGACGAGACGCCGACGGCAGCCTTGGACACGTGGTTGACGTTGTGGACCTTGGAGCGGACGCCGTCCGAGACCTCGACCGGCTTGGTCTTGGGCTTGATCCGCGACTTGAGCCGCGAGCCGCCGGAGCGGAAGACGCCGCCAAAGAGGGTAGCGCCGGCAATGAGGCCCGAGCCGACGAGGCGCGAGCCACCCTCGATGCCACCAGCGACCATGCTGAGTGTCGACGAGACGACGCCGCCGGGCGCCTCCTCGCCACGGCCGTCGTTGACCGGGAGCTGCGCCGCGAGCGCGGCCTCGTCCACAGGCACGATGGCGGTCGACGCCGCCTTGGTCACCGCGTCGTCGCCGGCAACGTCGTCGGCGGCCGGAAGCGGCGCTGGGGGCGCCACCTCGGCGGTCTGCTCGTCGTCGTCGTCGTCGCCGCCGCCGCTAGCGGCAGCCTTGGGCTGTGTCACAACCTCGGCACGGAAGTCGGTGTTCTCCGCGAGGAAGAGCTCAAACTCGGTGACCGAGGCAACGGGCGCGTCGTTGGGCAGGACGACACCGAGGTACTGGTCCTCGGGAAGCGGAAGGACGTACGACGCGGGTGCGATGCGGAGAGTAGGCACAAACGCGCCGAGGGTGATCGGGTACGTGTAGTCGTTGACCGAGAGGAACACAAACATGTCGTCGTCCGCCTTTGCCTCATCGGCGTCGGCGGCGTCGGCATTGGCGTTGGCGCTCGAGTCAACAGCGAGAACCTGTGGAGAGTGAGTGAGTGAGTGTGTAAGCATGGGTTGGGGACAGGCTAAGTTGTCTGTCCATCATCAAGCAGCCGTCTGCCTTGTCCACCACCACCAAGCAGCCGTCTGCCTTGTCCACCACCATCAAGCAGCCGTCTGCCTTGTCTACCATCATCAAGCAGCCGTCTGCCTTGTCCACCACCATCAAGCAGCCGTCCGCCTTGTCCACCATCATCAAGCAGCCGTCTGCCTTGTCCACCGCCATCAAGCAGCCGTCTGCCTTGTCCACCATCATCAAGCAGCCGTCCGCCTTGTCCACCGCCATCAAGCAGCCGTCTGCCTTGTCCACCGCCATCAAGCAGTCGTCTGCCTTGTCTACCATCATCAAGCAGCCGTCTGCCTTGTCTACCATCATCAAGCAGCCGTCCGCCTTGTCCACCATCATCAAGCAGCCGTCCGCCTTGTCCACCATCATCAAGCAGCCGTCTGCCTTGTCCACCGCCATCAAGCAGTCGTCTGCCTTGTCTACCATCATCAAGCAGCCGTCTGCCTTGTCCACCGCCATCAAGCAGTCGTCTGCCTTGTCTACCATCATCAAGCAGCCGTCTGCCTTGTCCACCATCATCAAGCAGCCGTCCGCCTTGTCCACCATCATCAAGCAGCCGTCCGCCTTGTCCACCACCATCAAGCAGCCGTCCGTCTTCTCGTCGACCCCCATCCCCCCCCCCCTTTCCCCCCTCCTACGACATACCTTCAGCTCGCCCGTGGCGACCAGCTCCTTGGAGGCGCCCGAAATGTGGAAGACATGCGTCTCACCCGCCACCGACAGCAGCAGGTCGGCAGTCTCTTCAGCACATGCAGCCATGGAGAACAATGTGTGGGTGGAGTGTGGAGAGAGAGTGTGTGTGGGGGGGGGGGGGGGGGGGGGGAAGAGGGGGGTGGCCTCTCCGCTCTGACTTTGGAAGGGAGACTGCTGGCACATGGCAACGTTCCGCAACGTTGCAGTTAATCGAGTTGAACGATAAATCCATCGTTCAACTCCATTAACTCCCGCCTCCAACGATAAATCCATCGTTCAACTCGATTAACTCCCGCCTCCAACAATAAATCCATCGTTCAACTCGATTAACTCCCGCCTCCAACAATAAATCCATCGTTCAACTCGATTAACTCCCGCTCCAACAATAAATCCATCGTTCAACTCGATTAACTCCCGCCTCCAACAATAAATCCATCGTTCAACTCGATTAACTCCCGCCTCCAACGATAAATCCATCGTTCAACTCGATTAACACCGACAACGACAGCCACCCCTCTCCCACACCCACACCCATGCCCCCCTCCCTCACCCTCCTCACCCTCGCCCTCGCCCTGCTCGCAGCAGCTGTGGGGACGGCAGCAAAGGAGAGCAACGTGGTAACCATCACGTCGGAAGAGCAGCTCGAGTCGCTGACCAGCTCGACAGCCGACGGCGTCATCGTGCTCGAGTTCTACGCGCCGTGGTGCGGACACTGCAAGCAGCTGGCGCCGATCTACGAGGAAATGGCCGATGAGTTTGCCGATGCGAGTGAGCTAGAGCCATCGGCGAGCATTGTGCTGACAAAAATTGATGCTACTCAACTGCCGGGACTTGCCTCGGAGTACAACGTCAAGGGCTACCCGACCATCATCATCCTCCGTGTCCGGGAGGAGTCCTCGGCCCCGACTCGATCGGTGTACAAGGGCGATCGCGGCGCCGTCGAGCTCATGACTGCCTTTGTCGCCGCCTCCATGGACCGCCACATCTCCCTCCTCGACTCGCCTGCAGACATCGCAGCCTGGCGCCGCGATCACACAGACTCGGGCGGCGCCATCTACGTCGCCGCGCCCTCGAGCTCGGCCGCCATCGACACCTTCTACGCCCTCGCCGACGGCCTTGCCCGCCGGCTTGACTCGGCCTTTGTCGTCGACCCCTCGGTGGCGCAAGACGTCGTCACTGTCATGCCGCCGCACCCGTCGGGCTTCCCGCTGCCGCCCGGCGACGGTGATGCCTTTGTCGTCGACTCGCGCCTCTCGCCCGACGTCATGATCCCACAGATCCTTGCTGCCGCCCTCCCGCCGGTCGTCGTCCTCGCCGGCGAGAACTACGACCTGCTCTACGACCCCATGCTCGCCAACCACGACACCGTCGTCCTCCTTGTCATCTCACCAGAAGCTACCGCGACACCCGAGGCTGCCACAGACCTCCTCGTCGCCTTCTCGGCCTTCGCCGACCAGTTCCGCGCCCGCCACCCGTGGCAGTTTGCCCTCGTCCCACACAACGACGAGACAAGCTCCGTCCGCTCCAGATACGCCCTCGACTTTCCGTCCGACACGGCCGGCCCGCTCGACGCCTTCCTCATCGTCGAGACGCCATTCACCGAGCCCAAGGGCAAGTATCTCATGCCCGAGCGCATTCACTCGGCCGATCTCTCGGACGCCTCCTCGTTCCTCCGGGACATCGTCAACGGCGCCGCCGTCCCTTTCATCAAGTCTGAGCCAGCCCCGCGCAGGGCCACCAAGCGCGGACTCACCACCGTCGTTGGCTCCACCTTTGAAAAGCTCGTCCTGAAGTCGACCCGCGACGTCCTCGTCGTCTTTACCATCCCGGGCTGCAAGTACTGCGCCCAGTTTGATGACATCCTGAAGTCGTTTGCCTACGACGCCCGCCGCGTCAAGTCGCTCATCGTCGCCAAGTTCAACGCCGGTGCCAACGACTTTCCCACCCACCTCTTCCGTATCTCGGGCTACCCGTCCATTTTCTTTGTCCCTGCCGGCTCCTCGGTCCCTCACAAGTTTGACGGCCCGCGCAACCGGCCCATGCTCATCGACTTTGTGGCCACCCACGCCCGCAACCCGTCGACGGCCAAGAAGATAGCCAAGCTGGCCGAAGGCCACGACGAGCTGTAGCAGCACACGCGTGTCGAGTGTACGTGGAGCGTTTACTCGCCTCCTGCTCCTCAATCGACCTTGACCGAGCTGTAGATGGTGTACACAAACTTGCGCGAGGCCATAAAGCCAACCGTGCCGGTCATGGTGGCGAGCGCAAAGCAGGCGAGAGCCGACCAGCCAAAGAAGACCGAGGTCTGCAGCACGCCCTCCATCCGCGTCCGCGCCACAAAGTAGTACACCGAGTAGAGGAAGACGTAGACGGCGGTCGAGGCCGACGAGAGGACCGAGAGCCACTGCCACCGCCAGTCCTCCGACGCAAGCGTGAGGTACGTGACGACCACCGCGCACGAGCCCTGCACAATGACAAGGATGACAAAGACAAGGAGGAGGAGGCCGTAGACATGAAAGTACATGTGGTGCGAGAACGAGGCAAGCACAAAGTAGATCTCCAGAAAACAGCTGGCAAACGGCAGCACGCCGCCGAGGTGGATGAGGACCAGCGGCTGGAGGTACCACGGCTTGTCCGGAATGTGCCGCGGCACCTTCTTCGGCTTGAACGGCGCGTCAGACTCGCCGGCGAGCGACCGGCCAAAGAGCGTCCCCACAAGCGTGAGCGGGAACGCCACAAACGCCCAGATGAGGACCACCGCAAGCACAGAGGTGAACGGCAGCGCAGAGAGTGAGTTGTACGAGATGGCAATGGCGTTGAGCACAAACGTGAGCGCAAAGACCACGCCCGGGAAGAGCCCGGCCGTAAGCATCATCGTTGACTTCCACGCCTCGCCACCGCCGGCCTTGTAGTACGAGCCTGAGACGTAGCCGGCCACCACGTTGGTGAAGGCGTAGATGAAAATACCCATCGTCAACAGCGCCCCGCGCGACTGGTACAGAGCCTTGGTCATCGACACGCCCAGAATAAACGCCGTGAGCACAAGGAGCTGCACGCCCGTCCCCAGCACCGCAGAGAACATCGCCAGACTCGGCGGCGACCGGAACACGTCACCGTAAATCATCTTCCATCCCGAGTCGTCGCCGATGGGAATGTCGTCCTCCTCGTCGCGGTTGTACCGCGCAAAGTCGCGCTTCAGCGTCCGCATCAGAATCATGAACACAAGGCCAACCAGGAAGATGACCATCATAAACGAGTTGAACAGCGAAAAGTAGTGGATCTGGTGCTCAAAGAACGACTTGTCCAGGTACCGTGAGAACCGGTCCTCAAACGCAATGTCCGTCTCCTCCCAGTCGAGCGAGTAGGTAAACACAAGCTCAGCGCCAGCCTCGATCAGCTGGGGATTCTCCGCCGTCAGCGAGACCTCGATGATCTGATCGCCGTTGTAGGCAATGACAAACTTCTTGTGGGTAAACACGTACAGCGCTTCCTCAGTCGCATCCTCCGACACCACCACCTCACCCACCATGCCCCAAACCGGAAGATCATCCAAGAACATTTGGTACCAATACTGATTGAGCACCGCATACTCAAACTTGGCCGCACCATCTTCATCCAGCGTCACCGAGCAAATCTCCCTCGGCGCCACTGCATGCTTAAATTTCATACCAATGCCCGAGTTGACCAGTTCGTATCCCAGCAGTGCTTCACCGAGCGTTTCATGACGATGATCCACAATATCCGTACCCCTGCAGTACGGGAGGACGTAGAACGAGTACGTCTCTTGCGGGTTGTGGTACGGGCCGACGTTGTTGGTCCAGAGAATGACATCCTCTCCGTCCTCATACTGAGGATATTCCGCACACCCCGTCACAGCGGCATAAGTGCACACACACACACACACACACACACACACACACACACACACACACACACACACACACACACACACACATATATATATATATACATATATATGTGTGTGTATGTGTATGCTATAACCACGCCACCTCCCGTCGACCTCAGAACTCTTCTTCTCCGTCTGCCCTTGGACGCACGTCGACGTGGCGCGCTGGAAAGTGGCGACGTCCAAGCCACACACACACACACACACACACACACACACTCACTCACACACACACACACACACACACACACACACACACACACACACACAGCCCACCAGCCCCCCTCCCCCCCCCTCCCCCCACTCCCCCCTCCCTTACACATAAACACACACTAACCCCCTCCCCCCACACCACCCCCCACACCACCCCCCACACCACCCCCTACCATAGGCACAAGACAGTTAGGCTTTCTTGGAACAAGACACACTCTTGCTACAACAAGGAAAACATACCACTTTGGGGGGCTCGCTAGCACGTGGAATGGTACACACCAATGCAAGGCACACCACCGCAAAGACCACAACTCGGGTGTGTCAACGACGAGAAGTGGCTTGTGCTCATCGGTTATTAGCTCACCGAACACCGGAAACAGGTCAACGCTCACCAGATCTCCGCTCACCGCTCACTGCTAACCGATCGAGCGTTTGTAGCTCAACGTGCATTGCTCACCGCTCGCCAGTTCGTCGCTCACCGCTCACCAGCTCGCCGCTCACCAGTTCGCCGCTCACTGCTCACCAGCTCACCGCTCACTGCTCACCGCTCACCAGTTCGCCGCTCACCGCTCACTGCTCACCGCTCGCCAGTTCGTCGCTCACCGCTCACCAGCTCGCCGCTCACCAGTTCGCCGCTCACTGCTTACCAGCTCACCGCTCACCAGCTCGCCACTCACCAGCTCGCCGCTCGCCGATCACCCACCCGGCCATCTGCCCCGCAGATCCGAACCGACAGCGGCCGTCCGTTTGCACACCTTTGCCATCGCTTGCTGATTGCTGCCCGTAATGGTGTGATGTGAATGCAAGCATGCTTGAGTCGTGGCAACAGGCTGCAGGCCACGGCTGCTGCTCCCTCCATTTCTACCTTTTACGCCATCACCGATAGCATCTCAAGAACCCAAGCCATGGCGGGCGAGCACGACATCGCCGACAACAGCCGCCACGACCAACACTCACGCACATCAGTGGCATGGGTCGCCTGCTGCTCCACACAATCACACCCGCCGCACGCCTCGCCTCCCACTACCATCGCCATCATCGTCCCATCGCCGCAGCTCCTCCATCGCTGTCCCCTCGTCGCCATACGACGACGATGAGCCCCACGCCCCGCTCTCCCGGTCCCGCAGTAGCTGCCGAAGACTCGCATCCTCGGCCCGCGATCCGCTGCGGATGACCACGGCCTCGCGACCCCAGCAGGCCTTCTGCCGCGCTGCCACGTTGACCACGCCCGCCAGCACCAGCAGCACACAGTCCAGACCCAGATATAGACCAAACGCCCGTGCCCGTGCCTGGCGATACTCATCCATGGCCGGCTTCCATGCCACATATACCACCTCGATCTCTGGGAAGAGCACCACGTCCGTCATCCCGCCGAGTGCCGCCAGGCCATCGCCGCAGTGCTCGCTGCCTAGCCGGACGCCTTGCGAGAGCCTCGTCGAGCTCCAATACTCTGGCTGAGGGCTCCCTGTCGGCAATACCCCACATGCCACCACCGTTACGTACAGAGTCCCGCCGTCGACCTCGCTGGCGGCCACGACCGGTGCGAGATGAACAACGCGCGAGCCGGTGCCAACCGAGGCCGAGGTGAGCGGGACCACAACCGAGCTGTTGCTGCCCGCCACCAGCACAGCGTCTGTCCACCGCCAGCCATACGCCCTCCTTCCTCTTGCCGTCGTCACGCTCGCATTGACGGACACTTGGTCGAGCATGCCGCCGGCCTCGTCGACGGCAAGAACGTGCCCGGCCGCCGCTGCGCCAATGGTCGTCGTCACGCCGAGGACAACAACCCAGACCAGCGCAGCACACGCCACAAGTGGCGCAACCACTCGAGCTTGAACGTTGGCGTACTTGCGAATCAATCGCGACGTCGGATCGAGCTTGCTCGGATACAGCGCGTCGTACATCCACGACAGGCCCGCCACAGCCGCCGTCCCGCCGCCAGCCGTCACCACCACGCCCACCAGCCATCCCGAGCCAAAGCCGAGCCCAGCCGCCGTCACCAGCGAGATCAGCTGGAATGCAACAAGAAGCGCTCCGCTGCACAGCGTAAGCCGCGTCACAGCTCCGATCACCCTTCTGCGGAACCGCTTGAGCACTTGCGCAGGAGACATCGCTCTCGCCACGCTCGCAGTCGTCGCACGCACCACTCCCTTGCCCTTCGATCCCCGCTCGCCGCCGCTGCCTCGCCGCCGCCGTCGACCCCGGGACACCATTTCTGTCACCGTCTGCGATACAAACGTGTACGAGCATGACGATGCCGACGCGGATGATGACGATGACGACGACAAAGATGACGACGACGACAACCGCGATGACTTGGACGACGACGACTCTTGGCCAGATCCAGACCCGCTCTCGAGAGCAGACGTTGTAGAGGTACCCACAGCCATCGATGACACATCCTTCACACCTCGCCGAGGCCATGGCATTCGCTGGTGTCCACAGCAAGCTCTCCGGGAGAGAAGAGTGTCGCGGTAAACTCTATTTAATCCGCATCCGCAGCCAAACTACCGCTGGCCTCACACCTGAGAGTCAAACACATCCGTCGACGCAATATGCGAGTTATATGGCGAGCTGTCGCAGCCCACGGTGCCGTATTCAGTGTCCAGGCGGTTCGGGATCGCTGTTGCCGTCGCTGTCGCCGTCATCGTCGCGGGAGGTGGCGGAGCATGCACACTAGCTAGGTTGGTGGAGACATCCGTTGCAAACAACGTGTCATCCATACGGAGCGAGGCCATGGGTGGCTCGGTCGCGTACTCATCGAGCTCGACCCCGGTTGACATATGACTCGTACTCTCGGCCTCAAAGTCCCGGCTGTTGGCGAGCTCGCCCGAGGAGCAAAACTCTTCCTCGTCCTTGGCCTCGCGCTTGGCAATGAGCCACGCATCGATCGCGTTGCCACCCACAATGCCGATCACGTTGATCACAATGCCGCCGATAACACCGACCCTCCGCATTGTCGCGTCGTCAAACGTGCCAGCAAACAAAACCGTCGTCGTTGCCGCGAGCACCACTAGCGCCAGCGAGTTGTGGAACTCTGACAGGTACGGCCGGCTCATCGCGAGCTGTACAATTGCCGAGACAAGGACAAACACCGCAGTATTGGCCTTGCCCTCGGGTGTGTACAGGAATGTCATGCAGATCACAACAAAGAGCTTGCGCACCATGATCGCCGTCTCGAACCACCAGTGATCGCCACGGAATCGCGAGACAAGGAACGAGAACCGGAGCATAAACGTCACAGGATCCATTCGGCTCCGCTTCCGCGCCAGCACCCAGACCACCGCCCCGGGCAGTCCGATCCCGTACACGGCCACGGCAATGATACCCGGGAGGAACAGCGACCACCATGCCGAGTCGTAGCACGTCCGCGACGGATCCGCGTCCAGGATCCACTTGCCTGCCTCGTCCTCGCGGCAGCCAAAGATCGAGAATGCCGCCCCGGCGAGGGGCAGGTAGAGGAGGACCAGGATCTGGAACATCGTCCGCCCGTAGCCCGACACAAACTCGCCGAACGTCTTGCCGGCAAACACCAGGCCGGCCTTAGAGGCAAAGTATAGTGCAACCGCGATGACCAGAAGCGCCATCGCCGCAAAGGCCGGAAGCATCAGCGCAAGCACCCACTTGAGCACCCACACATCGGTGCCCTTGATGACGCTGCACTCGGGCGAGGTGAGCTCAAAGTTGAGGTTGAGCGACGATGCAAAGTCAAAGTATACATCGGCAATCGGACCCCACTCAAGGTCGAGTCTACCGTACAGGGCTGAGATCTGCAGCGCGTTGACGCCGATCATCGCCGCCACAAACTTGTACCGCACGCTTTCTGCGAGCGAGAATGCATACAAGGCGCCGGTGATGGCGAGGGCAACAACGACGACAAGCACTGCCACAACCACATTCTTGCCACTGTCGCACTTGCGGCAGCTCCCGCCAAGCCGATAGTAGCCATCCGTGCACTTGGCGCACAGCCGCGAGGTGTAGCCCGGCGCGCAGCGCCCATTCCCAAGACACGCGCCCTCGGTCGGACACGTCACAAACGCTCCGCCATCTGGATAAAACCCAGGAGCCGCTCGCGGTTTGGCGAGCACCCCATCGCAGAGAGCTCCGGTCGGGCACGCTTCGCACGGCATGTTGGTCAACCCCGATGGTGACCACGTGTTGGCCACACACACGCATGTCCCGGCTGTGATGTTTGCCGAGCCAGTCGAGACCACCGTGTTCGCCGGGCATGCGCACTCGAGCACTTCAACCCCACTCGCAAAGCCTCTCTTACCCGACCCTGCCGCACACAATGTCACCGTCAGCGTGCCTTCCAGTCGGATCGCTTCCGCGCCAGTCGCGCTCAAAGTCCAGCCCACCTCGGTCGGCAGCTCGTCGACAAACTCCATCTTGGCCAGCAGCCGCACATCCGGCGGCAGTGCAAGCACAGCGTCGAGCGTCGACTGCGGCGCGCCCGACACAACCACAACCTCTGATCCGCTGCTCATCAGTAGCTCTTGTGCAATCTCGACATGCGCCTGATCAAAGGTGTCCAGTCCGCGGAACACGCCGTCAAACGCACGGCCAGAATCGAGCCGTGACGCTGGCGGTGTCACCCACTCGAATCGAACAAGAGGGCCGCCAACAGCCGCCCGACCCGCAATCACGGCACTGTAGTCCTCGTCGGTCATCCTTAGCCATGGCAGCTGCGCCGCTGAGCCAGTGGCTGGTGCAAAGCCATCTGCGGCGCACAACAGCGCGTCCGAGGCAATCGCGCTGATCGCGTCCACATTGCCGGCGAGCACCGACGTTGTGCCCGAGACTTCGATCGGACTCCCGCAAGCAAACAACCCGCCGCCCTTGGCTGTCGCCACATTGCCGGTCATGTTGGTGTTCCGTAGAGCCACAGAGGCAGCAATGCCACTCGCTCGATCAGCGGCGGCAGCCAACGCGCCGGTCGCCACAGGCAGCTGCGCCGACGTCGTCGCCGCGCTCGCCGCAAACTGCAAGTCGGAGGCAACCGCTGCCAATCCGCCGCCGAATACTGCCGTGTTGTCCTCGATCCGACATGCGGTGAGTGTCACCGTCCCGGTGCCCTTGACCTGAACGCCGCCGCCGTTGGAGCCGCGCGCCATGTTGCGGCTCACCACCGACTCGATCATGGAGAGCGTAGCGAGCGAGTTGACCGAGATCGCACCGCCACCGGCACCGCTGGCCATGTTGTGGGCCAGTGTGCATCGCGTAAGCGACGCTGCTGCGCTCTGGGCGACAACAAGGACTCCGCCCTCGGCAGCTGTTGAAGACTCAAACGTCGAGTCGGTGGCAATGACCGATGAGCCGGCCGTCCGCACGTACACCGCGCCACCAAACGAGAACGCGGTGTTGTGGGAAAAGGTGGCGTTGTGAAGGACGGCCGACGCGCCATCGGACACCAGCATTGCTCCGCCGCGACCGACGTCAAGCACCGCGTTGCCTGTCGACAGCGGCTCGCTGATCGAGTTGGAGACGGTGACGTGGGTGAGCTTGATCGTCACATCTGCGCCTTCAATCCGGAGCCCCGGAGCGCCATGGATGTTGCTGGCGGTCGTCGTCATGCCCCTAATATTGATTGACTCAAGTGCGAGCGTTGTACCTACTCCCCGCGTAATCGAGTTAAACACTGCCCGAAACAGGACGGCGCCGTTGGCGCCCGACTCGCAGTCAAAGGTCACCGTGCCCGGGATCTGTGCCGCAAAGCTGATCGGGCGAGCAATCTGAAAGTGCGCATCGCGCCGGCAGCCGTACCGACCAGGCGGGAGGAGGAGGACGTCGTGGGAGCAGACGCGCAGCCGGGCCATATTGGCAAGGATGCAGCTGGCCGACGTCGGCCCGTAATGGCATCCGTCCATGTGAGGATCATACACCACCGAGCGTGGTTCGTACGAGTAGAGTGCAGTCCGGGTGGCGCGCGTGTAGACCCGGAGAGTACTGCTGAGGATATAGTTGGAGACGATATCGATCGAGTCGTCCCCGTCAAAGTCACCAGCCACCAGCGCGTAGACGCCCGACAAAGAATCGACCTGCAGCAGCGGCTCAAAGGCGGGTGTTGAGAGATCTAGCGAGTACGAGATGTAGATCCTGCTGTTTGTATCTGCCCCGACGACTGCCACACGATCCTCGAGCCGGACGACGTCCACAAAGACGGCATCAAGCAGCCCGATCTCCACCCGAGGATGAAAGCCGCCTGAACCATTGTTGAGCATAAAGGAAATCCTGTTCGAGTCGCCGATGACGATGTCGTCGTACGCGTCGTCGTTGACCCTGGCGACGATAACTCGGTGGAGAGCGCCCGAGTGCTTGGGCGTAACTGCTACCGGGGCTTCAGATGTCATGTTGCTCACCGACCGCAAGATAGAGAGCGGATAAGTGCTTCCCTCAGCAACAAGGAGATCGACTCCGCCATCGCCGTCGACATCGATGGTGTCGTGGAGACGGATCCACTGGCCAACGTCGACAACGTAGCCGTCAAAGTGCGTGACCGGGTTGGGATCAAAGGTGAAATCGCCACGATTCATCCAGAACTGGAGGTTGGTTCCGTCGGTATCGATCAGGTCCATGTGTCCATCGTTGTTAAAGTCGATTGTCTTGAAGTGGCTCGAGAACATGTCCAACGCGATACTGCCATGCCGTGGAAGAGTGTGGGCTTGCCAGGCTGTGCCGACGCCGTCGGCATTGATGTGGAAGCTCATGGTCTTCTTGTAGAGGCTGACAATGTCAACATCGCCGTCGCCATCCACGTCAAGTACGTGCGTAGGAGTGGCCTCGTCGGCGATGACGACCGATAAGAGCGGCGTAACCGGAAACGAGGTCGTACGCGACCAGACCATGCGGTATGTGCTGCTTGGCAGCTTTCCGCCCACCACAATGTCGATCAAGCCATCACCATCGATGTCACCCGAGTTGATGTCAAGACCCGTGTCGAACGGCAGGTCAGGATTGACGCTGAGAGAAGTCCAGCTGCTCGACGCTGCTCGAGCCAGATCAGGAACGTGGACATTGGCTAGGGCGTTGGTTTTTCGGCAACAATGACGTCGTTGCGACCGGTGTTGCGCACATCACCAGCACCAAACGTGTCGATGGTTACGCCAGCGTTGGATACCATCCGCTGCCGACGGAGCTCGCCTCCGCCTGCATTTTCCATCCAATACAACTCGTCGTTGTAGACGAGCATAAGATCTGAGTCGCCGTCCGAATCGACGTCGCCCGTGTTGAGCTTGATTCCGACGGCGGCAGTCTTGACAGCAAGGACAAACTCGGTACCGGAAAAGTCGAGCGTGAATAGCTTCTCCTGGAAGAGGGCATAGAATTCAGGCGATCCGTCGCCGTCGAGATCGACGATGGCAGTGGACGGCGTGTCTGTCGACGAAGGGTCAAGCGGCGCAAGAACGATGTGACTATCAGTCAGGGGTCCGCCGTTGTCGTTGATAACGATGATGAGCTCGCTTGCGCGAAAGACGACAATGTCAAGGTCCGAGTCTCGGTCGACGTCGACGAGCTGGCACTCTTGAGAATCAAAAGTGGGAACTGCGTTGCCAGCAAGTGAGAACGAGGCGCCGGCGCCGTCGTTGAGAGCAAGCGCAAACTCATGGGTTCGACCGTCCTGGGTAATAATGATGTCTTTGTACCCATCGCCATTCCAGTCGATTGCTTGCAAGTCTTTGGCGAAAACAAACGACAGGAGGTTGATCGGCGAGCCAAAGACGCCAGCACCGTTGTTGAGTCGCAGGTACAGATAGATGCCGGATGTAAAGGCGATGTCAACATCACCATCGCCATCAAAGTCATCAGCAACTGCGGCAAAAATGGCGGAACTCTCAGTGGCGATGATGGTCGAGGACCACGAGCCTGTGTGCGAGAACAGGATGAGCTGGGTGCCATCGCGAGCGAGGACCTGTGGGTAGCCGGCGGCGGTAAAGTCAGCGAGGGCGACAAAGGTACTCGTGCCACCAAAGGTGTTCCTCCCACCGGAGTACTGTGTCCTGCACTGCTTGTTGGCTACGATCTCAGATATGGATCCCTCTGCAACACAGAGAGGAGAGCATGCTAGCAGAGCTAAGACCAATGTCGTCACCCAAACACGCGTGAATGGCAACTGTCGTGGTGGACACGTGGGCCTTTTTGACCAGCGGGGGAAAAAGCGTGGTGAGTGTTTGAAGGCGGGCTTTTGCCGAGAACAAGCAGAGATAAGGTTTTGGAAGGGTGGAGGGGTGCGGTGCGGTGACGGTGCGAGTTGCCTACATGCTTGTGTGAAGCGAGAAGTATGCACGTGGGGGACGAGTTGGTGGGACAAATTTTGCAGAGGAAAGCGACGGCCTGCCAGGCCATAATCGATGCCCAACGATAAATCTCGTTGGCAGCACACCATAATCGATGCCCAACGATAAATCTCGTTGGCAGCACACCATAATCGATGCCCAACGATAAATCTCGTTGGCAACACACCATAATCGGTGCCCAACGATAAATCTCGTTGGCAGCACGCCATAATCGATGCCCAACGATAAATCTCGTTGGCAGCACGCCATAATCGGTGCCCAACGATAAATCTCGTTGGCAGCACGCCATAATCGATGCCCAACGATAAATCTCGTTGGCAACACGCCATAATCGATGCCCAACGATAAATCTCGTTGGCAGCACGCCATAATCGGTGCCCAACGATAAATCTCGTTGGCAGCACGCCATAATCGATGCCCAACGATAACTATGAACGAGTGAGGAACGCGAAGGAGAGGAGACGTCTGGCACGAGGCGACGAGAGCAACAAGGAGGTAAGGGACGGACAAGCAACTCGAGTTTTCCTGTGTGACCAAGTTGTGTGGGTGAGGAGGCATGAGTATGGGCATGAGCAAACGGAGCAGCAGAAGACCTCCTTCTATCGTCATCTCCACCCTTACAGCAGGCGCGGACGGTGGAGGGCCAAGTGCCGGTGACGTGGTGGCCCGGCATGGTGGCGACCGACCCGAGGCGACATTAGCTGATGGCACTACTGCTGCTGGTGGTGGTGCCGGTGCTGGTGCTGCTGACGGTGTGCTGCTCTCGCCGAGTGGAAGTCCAAGGAGTTTAGGTCGCAATCATCAGAGACGGACGAGGTCGTCGTCGCCGTCATCACGGTCGCCGAGATCACTCTCGCCGCGATCGTCATCGAGGTTGAGGTCGAGGTCGAGGTCAAGGTCGGCCCGGTCAGCCCGGTCGGCATCGAGAGGGAGGAGCGGGAGAGGCGCCGAGCTTGCGCTGCCCGAGTGGGAGCCGTTTGCGTTGGAGGACTCGCGGGCGGCGGCGGTCAAGGTGGCCAAGCGGCTGGTGCGACGCATCATCCGGGTCTGCCGGTCAAACGGCATCGCGTACACCGACACTGAGTTTGGTCCGCGCGGTGCGGGGGCGGTAGTGGAGAGGTGGGCGAGGCGAGCGCGGGGTGGGAGCGGTTGGGACGGATGGCGGAGAGCTCGGTGCGGCTGATGCTCAACGGGTGTGCGCCGAGCGATGTGGTCCAGGGCTCGCTCGGGACATGCTACCTCGTCGGATCGCTAGCGTCACTAGCGGCGTCGCATCCCGAGGCTGCGGCGGCAATGGTAGTCAAGTACGATACCGAGCTCGGTGTATATGGTCTGGTCCTGTTCAAGAATGGACAGTGGGTCCCGGTGGTGGTTGACGACTACGTGCCGATGGTTGAGGCGGGCGGCGAGCGGTGGCAGGCGTACTCGCGGTGCTCGAACCCACGTGAGATCTGGGTTTCACTGGTGGAAAAGGCGTACGCCAAGGTCCACGGCGGGTACCCGCAGATCGAGGGCGGGAAGGAGACGTCTGCGCTCGTCGATATGACCGCCGGCATCCCGTTCCGGGTCAACTTGCGGTCGTCCAAGTGGATGGCGGTTCTTTTTGGCTCACCCAAAGCGCGATCTGCGTTCCGAGCCTCGCTCTCGCTTTCAGCGTCGGGCTCGATCGGTGTTCTCGATGGTGACGAGTGCGGAGGTGCGCACGAGGCCGAGGGTGGGGCGGCGTCAGACGCGCCGCATCTACTGCTGTGGGCCTACATGCGGCGCAAGCTCGACGAGAGATATGCGCTGTCGGCCTATGTCGCGGCCGAGCAGGACGCGGCGGGGACGGTGCTGCAGGATGGCTCCGGCCTCGTCACCGGGCACGCGTACGCGGTCCTGGGCTGCGCAGAGATCTGTGACGAGAGTGCTGTCGGGGTGGGCATGTTGCGACTGGTGCGGATGCGGAATCCGTGGGGCGGGCATGAGTACACCGGCCCGTACTCGGCGGTCTCGCCGATGTGGACGCCTGCGCTGCGGCGGGCGGCGGGCTTTGCGCTAGGTGGCAACGGCACGTTCTTTATGACCTACGAAGACTTTGTGCTCCATTTCACCGGCCTCGATCTGTGCCGGGTCATCGACGACACCTGGTTCTCGCGGTCGATGCTCGGAAGCTGGAGCGTGCGCAGCGGGCCGCGCGGGCAGCCGCAGCACAACCCGGCGCTGCATGTGCGAGTGAGCCTCACAGCAGCCGCAGCGACATGCGAGGGCGCGAGCGCTGAGCTTCCGTCGGGTCCGCGGGCGTTCTTTGAGTTCTCAGGTGCGTCCGACTCGTCATTGTCGGCTGTCTCGTCGGATGACGAGGCCCGGGCCGGGAGCCTGGCGTACGAGGCGCTGCTAGCGGCGCCGGACGCAATGTATCTGGTGCTCGCGCAGGACGATGCGCGGCTGGCGCGTGGAGAGGAGGTCTATGACATCTCCATCGGCTTTGACGTCCTCCTCCTCCCGTCGGAGGAGGCTGTGGCAACGGTTGCCGCCGATCCACGGCAGCTCGTCACGCTTGGCAAGCGGATCCACATCACGCCGTTCTCTAACACCCGCGAGGTGGTGGCGCAGATCTCTGGGCGTGAGCTGAGGCCAGAGCCCGGGGCGACCGTGGCACACCTGGTCGTCTGTGCGTACACCTGGCGTGGTGGCACTGAGCTTCCATTCTCGTTCCGGGTCGCATCGCGGCTCCCAGTCTCGCTCTCGCGGCTCGAGCTATCATCGCCAGCTGCCGCGGCGCTCCCGCCACTCGTCACACTCGACCTCCCGTCGCCTGTAGCCGGCGGGATGTTGTCGCCCGGAGTGAGTGAGGATCCACGGTGGGCGTGTTCAGCGCCCGAGGTTGATCTTTAAAAAAAAGAGCGTTGCCCGAACTCGATCTCGATGTGGAACTGTTCCCGTCACCCATCACGTTTGCCGGGTGCCGAGGTGCGTGCTCGTCGAGCTAACCAAAGCTGCGGGTAATCGTCCAGCCGACCATCAAGCATTAATCATTGTTGCCATAATCGATAAGCATTAATTGTCGTTGACATGATGGTGATCGTTGCCGGTGAGTGTTCGTTGGTCGGCACGTCAACAGCGCTCTCTGTGTGGACTCACTCGGCCGAGGCGAGGAGGGAAAGAGGGACAATATGATGAGACAGAGTATGATTACAAACATAATAATGCTGAGCATACTCCTCGTAGGAGTGGGAGCAAGCCCCTCCCCGCCGTCGCCACCGTCGAGGTCAACAAGCCTTCCGCGCTTTGCCTTCACTTCCAATTCGGCACTCAACGGACGATTCTGTGCACCCAACTCGGACGGACAATGTTCCATGTCACCGTACATCCAATCATTGCTCATCATTGCCTTTATTTTGCTGGTCATTCCTGCTCTCGCTGCTTGCGTCTGTCTCGCTTGCGCGTGTTGTGCTCAAGTCAGGGATCCGCCGCGCATCGTCTCCTCTTTGGATCCATCTCCATCTTCTTCTCGAAGAGATCAAAAGGCTCCCTTAACTGATGGACGTCGCTCACGAGCTGGTAGCCAGCTCCGTGGTGGCTCGAGTTGGAGATCAGAGGAGTTTGGTCGGGCAAGACGTGCTCCTTCGCTGCTGGATCTTCCGCCGGCGCTGAGAGAAAAGTGGATTGCCGCACATCCCACCGCCACCGCCATGATTCTGACAAAGCTCGCTGTTGTGGTTGTCGCTGTGGCGGTGGTCGTCCTCGCTGTCCTTCTCTTCATGGCCTCATCGGATGTGGATGTTGCTGAGGGTCGCGGTGCGGCTGCGCTCCGCGATGGTGCGGTGGCTGTGGAGCTGGCATCGAGCCAGGTGGTGAGCGCGTATCTCACATCGGTGCTGCAGAGCCCGGCGCTCAACTCGTCGCTGCCCAACGCCACGCTAGCGCTCAGCGAGACTACCGCGGCTAGTGCGGCCATCCGGTCGAAGATGCTGTCGTGGGCACGGATGACCAATGCGTGGGACCAGGCACGGACTGCGCTGGTGGTCATCATGGCATGCGTGGTGTTGGGCGTGACGACGTGCCTCTGCTGCGCGGCCGGCTTCAACGCACGGCGGGTGTCGCAGTGCGCAGCTGTGGCTGCGTCATGGACCACGCTTTTCCTTTGCTGTACCTTGATGCTCCACATCACCGGTGCGCTCCTTGTCTCGGACCTGTGCTTCGAGATGGACACCTCACTGGCATCTTCCACCGCCGACCGGACACTGTTTGACGAGCTGGTTGGCTGCCGCGGCTCATTCCCGCAGCTGGAGGCGACCACGTCGCGGGCGCTCGCCCTGGCTTCGGCCGACGTCTGTGAGACCGGTGCGCTGGTGTGTGAGCTGGCAGTCAACGTCTCGACATCGTTCATGCCTGCGCCGTGCGTTAACTCGACCATGCGGTGCTCAAACCCCGATTCTCCGTCCGATGTCTCTGTTGACACGGCCGTAGCCGACTACGGTACCGGAAACGGGACGACCGGATGTGCGGCGGCGGCGTCTTATCCGCCAATGCTTCCGCCGAGCCACAGCTACTGCGTCCGCAACACACCGCGCATCCTGCTCTGTGCGTCGGTGGGAGCCGGATGTGACTCTCCGCTGACCCAGCACTATGTCGCGCCGCTATACGCGGCGCTTGTCACCCGCCGGCTGGTCCGGCTCTCTGTTGTCCCGCTCGTGACGGAGCTCACCAATTGTACGTTTGTCGGCGACGTGCTCGCGGCGGCGCGCGATGATGTGTGCGGGACCCACAAGCCGGCTATACACCGAACTATGTATCTCCTTGCTGGCGTTGTTGCTCTTGTGCTCGTCGAGGCCGGTCTCGGCCTTGCTGGCGTCCGCAACCTGGTGCCGCTCGCCAAGACCCGCCGCCGCGCCACCGCCGCCGCCATGGCTGGAGCGGTCGGCGCCGGTGCCGCGCTCGCGGGCACTACCGCTGCATCGCGGCGCGGCTCACTCGCCAGTGCAGATGGCGGCCGGCAGCCATCGGACTCGGGGCCGACAAGCAGCCGACGCCGACGGCGGTCATCCAACGCCGGTGCTAGCGGCATGACTCCCATCGCGCCCATCGACTCGCCGCTCAAGCCACAACATCGCGGCGTGGCTGCAGCGGCTGCCGCCTCGCCGGGCCTCTCCCGGCCGGGCTCGCTTGCCTCGTTTGTCGAGAACACCCGCGACGAGACCTCATCGCTTGGCTACTCTTACTCGTACGATGACGGCAGCTTTATTTCGTACGATGACGAGGATGGGGGGGGCAACGATTCGCGGCTCAACCTCGCGTCGGCAGCGTCGCATCGTCCCGCGCCGTTCCTGGCCGACGACGACGAGTCGCCTCCTTCGGCCGGCTCGGAGCCGCCGCGCAAGCAAGGCAGCGGCTTCTCGCGAACTGCGCCTGTCGGCGGCGCAGCTCGGGTGTCGGCGCTCCGCGGCACTGGTCTCGCCTCGGGTGGACTCTCACGGACAAGCTCGCGATCAGCCGGTGGCGGTCTCGGCTCGGGCAGTCTCTCGCGCTCCGGCTCGCGATCAGCCGGTGGCGGTCTCGGCTCGGGCGGTCTCTCTCGCGCTGCGTCTCGCGCTGCGCGTGGTGGACTCGGCAGCGGCGGCCTTTCTCGGACCAACTCTCGATCGGCCGGCGGAGCACTTGGCGGGCGCGGCCGATCGCCGCTTGCACGCAACACCTCGTACCAGATGTCTGTCGGCCGGCTGGACGACATGTAGATGACAACGAACTCGGCCTTGTGATTTCCGACGTGAGGCAACTCAACTCGCACATGCGAGCGTCAACGATAAAACCAAAGGAGAAATAATTGCCAAATCATTGCCTGTGAAACGAGTCACAAGTCCGTCGCCTTTTTGCCTCGAGCGCCAAACGAGCCGAGTGTGACGGCGGGAAAGAGGCGACAAAGAGCGGAGAGCAAGTCAGGAGAGACACGAGCAGAGGCTTTGAGGCAGAGACCGGGGAGAACGAGACATACTTGACTCGGAGGACCAAGAACACAAGTCGCACAAGTCGCACAAGTTGCACAAGTCGCACACGTCGGACACGTCGGACACGTTGACCTTGGACTACGGGCACGAGGACGGACAGCAGGCACATCACCAACTCGACGACTAGCCACATCACCAACTCGGCGACCAGACACATCACCAACTCGGCAACCAGACACATCACCATGGGCATGGACGACCTCATTCCGGTGGTCAACAAGCTGCAGGACGTGCTGTCGTCGGTAGGGACCGACATGATCGACTTGCCGCAAATTGTGGTTGTCGGCTCGCAGTCGTCAGGCAAGTCATCGGTGCTGGAAAACATCGTGGGAAGGGACTTTCTTCCGCGTGGCTCGGGCATCGTCACCCGTCGCCCGCTCATTCTCCAGCTTGTTCAAACCAAGCCTGCTCCCGGCGCTTCATCCGCCGAGACCGGCGACGGCGCAAGCACCAGCGATGGCGCGCCCAGCTCGGGTAGCGCTGCCGAAGGCGAGGAGTGGGCCGAGTTCCTGCACCTGCCCGAGACCAAGTTTACTGACTTTGCCGCGGTCCGCGATGAGATCTCGTCTGAGACCGACCGGGCGACCGGGACGAACAAAGGCATTTCGGACGCGCCGATCTCGCTTAAGATCTACTCGCCGCATGTGCTCAACCTGACGCTGGTGGACCTGCCGGGCATTACCAAGGTGCCTGTCGGCGACCAGCCGTCGGACATCGAGACCCTCATCCGCGACATGATCCTGCACTTTATTGAGAAGCCGAACGCGCTCATTCTGGCGGTGACGGCGGCCAACTCGGATCTGGCCAACTCGGACGCGCTGCAGCTGGCCCGCCGGGTCGACCCCGATGGCGAGCGCACGCTCGGCGTCCTGACCAAGCTCGACCTCATGGACGCCGGAACCAACGCGCTGGAGATCCTCAACAACGAGATCATTGCGCTCAAGCTCGGCTTTGTGGGCGTGGTCAATCGGTCGCAGGCCGACATCAACTCGGAAAGTCGATTCCTGCCGCGCTCGAGGCCGAGGCCTCGTTCTTCGCGTCGCACCCTGCGTATGCGCCGTTGGCTACGCGGCTGGGGACGCGCTACCTGACGCGCCAGCTCAACACCCTGCTTGTGGCGCACATCAAGAAGTGCCTACCGGGTCTCAAGAAGCGAATCAGCGCCAAGCACTCGGCGGCTGCGTCCGAAATGGCCACGCTCGGCGCCCCGGTCTCGCCCGAGTCTGCCGGCTCGGTCGTCCTCGATGTCATTACCAAGTTTGCGGCCGACTTTAAGGCTGCGCTCGACGGCACCATGGCCGACCTTTCGATGGTCGAGCTCGCGGGGGAGCGCGGATCGCGTACATCTTCCACGAGCTCTTCTTCAACGCCATCCAGGACATCCGGCCCGGCGAGGAGCTGACCGAGGAGGACATCGAGACGCTCATCCGCAACGCGACCGGGACTCGCGGGCAACTCTTCATGCCGGGCGCTTCATTCGAGGTCCTGGTCAAGAAGGCTGTTGCCCAGCTGAAGGAACCGGCTATGCAGTGCGTCAACCTGGTGTATGAAGAGCTCCTCCGCCTGCTCAACACGTACACGACCAAGGAGTTGGCGCGTTTCGCGCGCCTCCGCGAGCGGCTGCACAACGTGGTCTCGGACACCTTCGCCAAGTGCCTCAAGCCGACGTACGCCATGGTCACCAACCTCATCAACGTCGAACTCGCGTACGTCAACACGCGGCATCCGGACTTTGTGGTGGCGCTGGCGGCGATGCGGGCGTCGTCGGGAGTCGATCACTACGCGTCGAGCTCCACCGAGGCTGCGTCGAGCGCCGGTGCGGCGGCGGCGGCGGTGAGCTCGGCAGCAGCCAGCGGAGCGGACCCGGCACCGAGCGGCTGGTTCTCGAAGAAAAAGTCGAAGAAGGGTGGTAGCGGCATGTCGCCGCCGGCGCAGCTCGCGCAGGTCCGCAAGCCGCAGCACCTCTACGCCGAGCACGAGATGTCCGAGACGCAGCTCATCCGCGAGCTCCTCGACGCCTACTTTACCATTGTCAAGAAGAACATCCTCGACGGCGTGCCCAAGTCGATCATGCTCTTCCTTGTCAACAACGCAGCGTCCCACGTCCAGAACGAGCTCGTCAAGGCCCTCTACCACGAGAACGAGTTTGGCGAGCTTGTCCGGGAGTCCGGCACTGTGGCCCAGCGCCGCGAGGTCGTCGCCACCCAGATCCGCGTCTACAAGGCTGCCGAGCGCATCCTCAACCAGATCCGCGACTGGGATGTGTAACTGAGCGTAAAAGTGCTGTCATGGTTGTAGGCGAGGAGCAAGGTGAGGTGAGAGAGAGGATGGGCAGCCCTGTGGACGAAAGAGGGAGAGCCGTCGGTCAGCCGGCGGTTGAACCACCACAGCCAACTGGTGACCACCACCAGCACCACCAGCACTGCCAGCACGAGCACGAGCACAAGCACAGCACAGGCCGTGCCACTGCACTCACCGACCATGTCATCCATCCGGGACCTGAGTACGTAGTGGGGGGGAGGGGGAGGGGGAGGGGGAGGGGGAGGGGGAGGGGGGGCTTGGCTGAGGCATGTGTGGCGGGACATGGGAGGGGGGGTGGGGCGGGGGTGGGGGGTATGGGTATGGATGTGGTTCTTGTGGTCGTCGTACTCGTGTCGTCCATCGCATCCATGCCATCCATGCCATCCATGCCATCCATCACATCCATCACATCCATCACATCCATCACATCCATCACATCCATCACATCCATCACATCCATCACATCCATCACATCCATCACATCCATCACATCCATCACATCCATCACATCCATCACATCCATCACATCCATCACATCCATCACATCCATCACATCCATCACATCCATCACATCCATCACATCCATGCCATCCATCACATCCATCACATCCATCACATCCATCACATCCATCACATCCATCACATCCATCACATCCATCACATCATCACATCCATCACATCCATCACATCCATCACATCCATCACATCCATCACATCCATCACATCCATCACATCCATCACATCCATGCCATCCATGCCATCCATGCCATCCATGCCATCCACCGCGCAATGCGCACTCGTCGCACTCATCACTCTCATTCACTGCGTGGCGCTGCACCTGATTCTGCTCGACATGGCGCAGAGTTCCGCCGCTCCGGATCCAAGGGCCGCATGCACTCGTTCTCGTCCATCGACTACCTCGACAAGCTTGGCGAAGAGGTCGAGGTCAATCGCGACGTGTACAACCACGCCAACGGCCAGGGTGAGCTCCCGCTCCACCTCGCTGCCTCCACTGGCTCGGTGAACATCGCCGAGCTGCTGCTGG